GGAGTCTGTTTTTGAAGTTTTTCTGTTGTAATATAGCCACCCGCAGGTCTGTCATTGAATGACCAGACAGGTTAGTCTCTAAGGTGCCACAAGTACTCCTGTTCTTTTTAAGTACCTAGGTAGATAAGACATTAGCTAAAGGAAGTTGGAAATTAATTATAACACTTTCTTAAGCACAGATTCATAGACTCCCAAGGCCAGAAGGGACCACTGTGATCATCTAGTCTGCCCTCCTGTATGACACAGGCCAGAGAACTGCCCCCAAATAATTCCTGTTTGAACTAGCGGTCAGGATCTTCTCTTTCATTCAGAGGGCTGCCACCACCAGCACATTCTCCTAGAAGCCAGGTGTAATTGGAACCTCTGTTTTCAGAGCAGTTTATTCCTGAGCAAAGTGCTTCTGAGTTTATGAACATTTAGGCTGCTGGTCTGAGAGCGATGAGTGCACATTTGGGGTTTTTTTTATTATTTTTCGGAGCGTCTCTAAGGATGGCAGCAATAGCAGTCAGCATCTGTGTTCCATGACAGAATGCGCTCTTCTCTCCTCCCTTTCCCCCCTCTCCTCCCCATCCCACCATTTCTGTTCCTACGCAGGACAATAAAAACTGCAAAAATGGAGCCATGCAAAACACACCGTGGACTGGAGGGGGTCTGCAGAGGGCAGAAGGGACAAGGTAACAGAGCTACACAAAGCTGTTCTATGGAAGGCATCCCTTCACTGGCATCGCCCCACCCACGTCACTGCTCGTCTTGCCTTCTCTTTCAAGTACTCTTCACTTTGCCTTGTTGTCAAAGAGTTCTTGTTTGTATTTTTAACCTGATTCTTACAAGGCAGCGAACGCTGCTTCCCTCCGATAATGCTGTTTGCAAAGAACTCAACAGCTGTTTCTCGGGGTGGGGTAGGGGCGAAACCCCCATCGGGCACTCCTGTGCTCTTGTGCTTCATGGCACGGTGAAACAGTCAGAGGCGGCTGACGGAGAGACGAGGGGTCTGAAATGATTCGTGGTCCTGCTAATTCTCACATTTTGTTACAGTTTCCTGATTTTCTGTCAGCTTTGATGGGTCACTTACTGCCTTTTTGGAGAGGTTTTGCTCCGTGGGACTTCTCTCAATTCTATCCTCTGCGCCCAAAATTTCGGTGGGGGCCACAAGCCTCCATTGTTCTTCCAGTCTCTCCACCAAGCACCCACCCTCAAGCCCATTCCTCCCACCTCCTCCACCAGAGCACAAGCACACACTTTGACTGTAGTAGGGGGTCTAAGAGGCTTCTGCTTCTTCTGACCCCCCTCTGGTCAGGACTCACAGCCCTTGGGGTGTTTTGTTTTTTCAATATATAGTCACTTTGAAACTCACAGTTTCCTGCTGCCAATCAGCTCCCACAGGACCAGATTGGTTGTGAAGCCCAGAAAGCCAATAAAACACTCCATTCCCCGTTTCAAATGTCAGCACTGGTGGGCTGGCTCTCAAGACACATGACTGAATTTCCCTTTTGCCTTGCTTTAATAACGCTAGGCCTGTGCTTTTCTACACTGGGCCTTGAAGATGAACCTGTATCGTCCTGCACCTGTGGCCAGGCCCTGAAGAAGAGCACATCACTGTTGCCACAAATGTCCCAAGAGATGTGTACTTCTGGCATTATTCTGGATCAGGGACACTGATGCCAATCTTTTGTATGGGGAAGAAACAGTAAAGCCAGGAAAGGTATTAGCTACTAACTGTATTTTCACTCAGGGAAACAGGAACAAACCTCCTCAGACTTGCCAGATCCCTGAGGATTCCTTCAAACCCCAGTTCCTCCAGTAGGCCCCATATCACAGCCAACCTCCTTCTGGCTGAGAAAGCCATCGGCTGGAGACCATCTTGCGGGCCGCTGCCCACGTACAGTTGCCAGCTGGCCCTCTTTTCAAGGGAGAGGCCTGATTTTTTTCCAGTGGACGTGCCGCATGTCTTGTAGGGCATTGGGTATCTCACCACAGGGTGAGCGACACCGAGAGCACAATGCCGTAATGCAGCATCTCTGACCAGGAGGACAAAGTATTCAAGGAGGTAGCTCACCTTCACTCAGGATATAAGCAATCTGCCTCCATAGCACTGCCACCCCATGGATCCAGAGAGATGGGACCAGCAATCAAATCCAGACTCCTGCATTGCAGCTGAGAGCACAAGGCCAGTGAGCCAACTAATTCCTCTTCCCATTTCATTATAATGCCAGCATGTTACCAGCAGTTCCTCTTAGCATTCGTCAGCTACGCACAGTGAGGGAAAATCAGTGTAAACGCTGGAATATCCAGAGGGACTGATTCCTTGGGACCAGCACTGCATCTGCCCTAATAGTTAGTGCCAGGAGACCCTAACCCCCAGTATCAATGCGCCCCACTTATGACTTGATGCGCTCCCTGCTATTCCACCCCCGCATTGTCAAATTCCTTTTGCCAGTGCAGATCTCTTGCTCTGTGGCAAAACCTGCCTGCCCAGACCGCAGCTTCTCATGAGCAGAGATAGCTACAGCATAAACTATAGGATGATTGTGCAACATGGATAAATATCTGTAGTGTTTTGAAACCAGCACTTGTGACCAAAAGCACATTAGAATCCAGAGATAAACAACTAATGCAGAAACCTACTGTATTGACCATCTCCCTCCACTTCAATGCTTAAGGGAGATGTACTGAATAAAGCAATTTACTAACAAATTTTAAATTTGTTAGTCTCTAAGGTGCCACAAGTACTCCTGTTCTTTTTGCGGATACAGACTAACACGGCTGCTACTCTGAAACCTGAATAAAGCAATGGTTTCCTTTACAATAGTAACCATGTGATGGCTTCCAGTGATGTGAGTTTGACACAGCATAGTTGATGGAGCAGTGTCTGATCTGACACCTATCACACTGTATACAAGTAGAAAAGACCATCAAGTTTCTGCACTGTTAACAAAAACATCAAAAATATCTTGGTTCATTATTTAACTTACCTCCAACTCAGTGGGTGAATTTGTTCTTTGAAGAGAGAATGAAGTTTCCTCTTCCAGAACCAGAATTACAAGTTTACAAAACTATTACTCTTCTTGAGAGGGGGAAAAAACAACCGTGAACGAATGTTTAGTTTATTGAACCTAAAAAAAAAAGTCTTGACAGAAGTTAATTAGGTAGATAGAAAAATGCAGGACCTTACTCTAGGCCAGGGGTCGGCAACCTTTCAGAAGTGGTGTGCTGAGGCTTCATTTATTCACTCTAATTTAAGGTTTCACGTGCCAGTCATACATGTTAATGTTTTTAGAAGGTCTCTTTCTATAAGTCTATAATATATAACTAAATTATTGTTGTATGTAAGTAAATAAGATTTTTTTGAATGTTTAAGAAGCTTCATTTAAAATTAAATTAAAATGCAGAGCTTCCCGGACCGGTGGGCAGGACCCGGGCAGTGTGAGTGCCACTGAAAATCAGCTCGCGTGCCGCCTTCGGCACACGTGCCATAGGTTGCCTACCCCTGCTCTAGGCAGGCAGAAGGAGAAAAGAAATCCTTGCATGGGATTCTTGACCAATCATTGATTAAATGTTCACTCAATGTGTGTGTGAGACAGACAGAGAGAGATACTTGGGACTTGAAGTGCAGTGGATCATAGACTAAAGGCCCCTTGAAATTATCTGAGCCATACTCAAGCAAGCACAAAGGTATGAAAGCACAAACGCTTGGAACCATACAAGTCACAAGTTTATTGACAAGAGGTGAACATGGGGCAAGAATAAGGGAGATTTTTTTCTATGCCACATTGACAGTGTTGTTTTCAGCTTGTTTACTACCTACCCCTATAAGCAACCTGCTCTTCCAAGTGTTCTTGAGAAAGATGATGTTATTCAGAGCATAGAGAACTGAATAAATAAACAAAAAAGGAGCCAAGCAGTAAGGAGAGACTGTTCACTACATTTTGTTACTGCTACACACCAAGGCCTTCTGTATAGAACAAAACAAGGATATTATTTTTATTTTGCTGCCTGTCCAGTGCCCAGTCTTGAGCAACGGTGGCCTCCAAAGCCACAGAGCCTTCCTAGAGCTCAGATTTCCACCAAGTGACCAGAGAATTCCTCCAAGTGGTGGTCAAAGCCAGCAACGGTGTTCCTGTGTCCATCCAAAGTGTTTTCACCAGTGATGACGGCAGCTGCTTTCAAAACCGCCAAGTGCACCTTTCGCCTTGTGCCATCGCAGGAGGGTGGTGATATCAAAATGTCATTTGTGATGATGCCATACCAGCATCCTTTGCAGTGATGTCAAGGTGGTTCAAAAGTATCATGAAAGTCAAGGAAGTATTTTTATTCAGGCACCAAAGGGGCACTGGTAACTACAAAAACCAGGTGTCACCCAACTGCGGTAAAGGGTGCTGTCAGAGATCCTTAAAGCTCTACTGACGGGAGAGTGTATTCATCCCCACAAACAGTATGTGCCTGACACCAATCTTCATCAAAAGCATCATAGGCCTTTAGGGGCCAGGAACATGGATACCACCTCTATGTGATCCACCCTTTTTGTGTTCAGAGACGCTAGCAGAGCTACCTCTAAGAGGAGCAGTTCCATTCAGCACAGCAGAC